CCCCAAAACCCCAAAACCCCAAAACCCCAAAACCCCTTAGAGATTATATATTATTGAATTGACTAAATGAAGACTGTACTACCTAATATAGTTGTAGACCATGATAAGTAAGAAATTGGTGATAATGAAGGAAGAAGAAGAGATAGAGCTGTTTAGAGCTGTTCTGAGTGTTTAGAATTAGATTTTGGAGTAGGGGTGAAGGAGGTTTATGGGATAGTGATGGAATTTATGAGGTTTTGATGATTAGAGATGACACTTTTTGGATTTCGCACAAACTTTAATTTTTAATTTTTGTTCTAACCTTACTAACTATTTTTACTAGGCCACAATTAAATAACTTCATGCCTCAAAAAATGTGCAGAGATTTCAAATAAAGAAATTGAGTTACCAGAGGAGAAGTTACAAGTTATTAGAGAAAATGTTATTCTAAATAATGAGAAATTTTTGAAACCTCGGAATAAGAACAGGGTGAGTATGATCTAACCTTATATTCTCTTTCTCTTACCTGTCTGACTTCTTTATAGAGAAAGATTAGATTTAACACTGAGAAAGGAATTTATAAGACTTCTAAGCCAAAAAGTTTTAAGGATTTTGGCAAGACAAGGAATAATTTAGGAAAGCTAAAAGCAAACCCTTCACATGGATCCAAGACCATGATGCAGGAGTACTTTAAATTATCAGATCCAAATAGTAACACTCCTAGCATCAGTTCAAAGAAGATGGAGACTGAAAACACGAAGCTGCATATGTTTAATATAAACTCTAAACGGGCCCATAACCTAATGATGTAAGTTTCCCTTCCTGATTGTAGGTATAAATAAGCTGAATAAGGGTCTCTTCAAATACAGAAAGATTGTGAAATTAATAAAGATCTACCTTCTTAAGACATCTTATGCTATTTATAACAGGATAAGAAAAACTCAAGGCAAAGAGTAAGATTTTATAGCTACCTTGGATAATTGTTGATAGGCCTCAAAGCTTCCTTATCTTTCCCAGAGCATTCAAGACCAAGAATACAGACCTTGAGAGGCAACTGAGGGATATCAAAGCCATTAAATGAGGGCCAGAACAATCCTTCAGTTCACCCGCGTCTGAAGCAAACCTAAGCAAGGGTAAACCTATTTCTTTTAGGTCTTTATAAAAATAGGATTCGCACAAGGGATTATTAAATAAGTTCAAGAAATGAATGAAGTCAAAACTAGGCTCCAGAGCGAGGTATGGCCCTCTCCTAAGTAACTTCTGTAGTCAGTATTTCTCTCTGAAGGGATATCGCAGACAAAGCATCTACCCTAAAGTAGCGAACAAGGTAAGGACATTTTTATGATGGAATGACCTCCTTTCGCCAAAAATGTAACCCTCTTTGTTGTAGAGCCAGAAGAAAGGAGTTTTGTATAAGGAATTTCTGAAGAAGTCTCATTCTTACAAAGGGCTTAGCACTAGGTCTAATTCAGGGTAAGTTTTGGCAAATAGTATTTAGGTGAAATCCCAGATCCAGGAACCAGTTTTTCGAGTCTGTCACCAGAAAGCCTCAGAAGAATTATTATGAGCAGTTATATTCATTGAGGTATTATCTAAGATTCTCAAATTTTGTTCTAATATTTTATCTTAGTAGTAAAAACACAAAATCGTACTGAGACTTCCGTGCGAATTCAGGGATATAGAATCATAATAAGACTTGCTAATAATTATTTCAATCACTGTTTTAGCAAAGGGGTTTTGGGGTTTTGGGGTTTTGGGGTTTTGGGGTTTTGGGG